GGTGGCTTAGAATACTTAAAAGAGCAATCTTTTCAGTAGAACCTGAAGAGCGCGTTAGGATGAAGACTCTCCGGAATCCCGGAAACAGCATTCTATATACACTCCCCAAGGGTTGAGGAAACCTGCAGTAGGAGTCGAATTTTTTTTATATATTTGCGCGTAAAATTATCAAGGTCTCACTCTTTTCATTTCGGTATGTGACTGATAATCCCAAGTTCCTTAGCTGAGGGAGAAAGGAAATGGTGGAAGAGACCCTAACATAACAATTGACATAAGTCTCAAAGGGGAAAGATCTGACTACACCACATCTGAGTGTGTACAGACGGTGAACGCGGCAGGGGGAGAAAGAGAGAATAGGTTCTATCTGACGGGCTACGCGGGCATCTCACTGCTCCTAATCCTCCCTAGTGAAGTTCGGCCGTTGCCATTTCTAAGCGCACGCGAGGTAGAATCTTGTGCTGCTACTGAATTTCATTCAATTTTTTGTTTTTGCTCTGGACATGTCTGTAGTTCAGTCGTGAACGGAGTTGTAAACTTAGCTGCGCTAGTTGGAGGTTCTCCTTGTTCAGTTAGCGACATCACATCGTATGGGAAAACAGACATTAAATTCACCTTTGTACCTTTTGCCATACATTTTTCTTGAATTTGTTCGCGTGAAAAATTAGTTAAGTTACTGCAATGGACAGCACATTGAATGCTAGAATGAAACTTCGATGGAAGAAGGTACGGTAGATGTCTAATTTACCTCCCAGAAATTGTTTAAATAATCGAACTTAATTGCAGCAAAAAAGCGCGCCATAAATGGCTTATTAGTTTGATTATAGTTTGAGATTGCTTCTTAGTTCATTAAATTTAGTTAATCGTAGATTGTCATTGCTTAGTTAGTTCAGCTAGGTTTTAGTTTACTTTTTTATTTAGTTTTGGATTTATTACCCAAATACGGTTGCTTTTCGAGTCAAAATCTTTACTATTTTATTTAAGCATATTTTAGTTAACTTGGTTTACTTAACTTATTCATATTTTAGTCTTCCGTTAATCATGTTTTATTATTTTTTTATTTTCAATTTCTTTTTAATAAAGTGGATTTAACTTACTTAAGGTAACCTTTTGGGTCGCTTTTGTCTTTGACTTAAAATTGAAAAAAAATACTTTCACATTTTCAGTAGCCCGACTTTTGAACCGTTCGAAGGTCGGGTTGCTGAAAATGTGAAAGTATTTTTTTAGTTTAGTTTTTCAGTTTGCTTAGTTCCCCGTATTTGCGTAGTTGCATATCTAACTTATGGCGTTCTTTTTTGTTGACAATCATTACATTATTTCAATGAATATTCCTGTTTTTTCTACGTTTGTAAAATTTAATTTTTAGTTTACATTTTCGTTTCCCGTTTTATTCACATTGTATAACCTTGGTTACACACAATCCCGTTTTACATAAGGATGGGGTTTTCGAGTGCTCATCTGGGAGGTAAATTATAAATCTACCGGGGTCGCTCTTTCTCCTGTAAGACTTTGGCAAATTTTCAATGCCCTACTGAACAGTTTTTTGTTACATTTTATACATCCTGATAGCTTCATGTGAAGTTTTATGTGGGCTTGCCTCTGTCCGTTGTCCTCCATTAGTCAATTTAAATGGCAGTATGATTATATTTAAAACGGTGAAAAGCTATTTTTAGCTTTTATCCCCAAAAAGTCCGACGGATAAACCCTCCTACGTCTCCAAACTAAAAAGAGTCTAGCCCCCTGCCCGCGTTCCGAAAATTGCCGGCCTCAGCAACAACATCCAGTCTGCTTTTTGGGCAGGCTTTCAGTCAACGCCCTGCCTCACCCGCCAATTGCTTTTATGCCTCCCCTGCTCCCCTCCCCCTCCCCCCACCCACTTCTCCCCTTTAGGCAACTCAAATTAGCGTTTACGTGCGACGTTGTAGCTCTAATCCCGTGTCCGGCAGAGCCACCTCCCAACCAACCTCTTCCCCTCTGTCGTCCACGCCCTAAGTGAAACAGTTAAACGCAGTTATTCTGACGTGGGCGTGTTTCTGAAAGCACCTTGGGGCGACCTGAAGGATAGACTGATGGTCGTATATCAATTGCACGCTCAACTTTTTCCCCTCTGCTTTGACCTGTTTTTCTTGCCTCCAAGCAGACGTCATAGTGGGTCTCCACCCCTAGCGTGTTTGCCCTGATTTAAGGCTCTGCGCCGAGACTTGCCCATAAGGGGTTAAAATGACAACACTCCCCTGGGATCTTAATTTTAGGTTATCTATAGGCCATTTTACTATTTATAGAGTCCTTACTTACAAATTGGAAGGCAGGCGTCGCAAGAAATGTAATTTGAAGAAAACACGTTCTTTGGGAAACGGTAAGTTTATTCAGTAAACTGTTGAACGTCAGACTGGAGATGTGCAATGAACAATTAAAACCTCAAGCGTGCTGAAAAAAGTAATTGCCATTTTGTATGAGCGCTAACTGGCGGCTGCCATTTGTGTCAGTCTGTATCGATTGGCTCTAGTCTCTTCCATCTGTCTGGGGGATGTTTGTACATTCCATCCAACTCGATGTGTTGGTTTATGCACGAATCATCGAGCTGCATTGCCCTAAAAAATTCTCGGCCTTTTTTGGAGGGACAAACTCCGACGATGCGTGTTTTATCCCGTGTGGAGGTGTGTCTTTTATCAAGGTTATGCATGACCACTTTATTTGATATTTCCGCAAGTACCTTTCAACGACTCCAGTCACATTACTTATATATGGAAAGATCCGCCATTCATTTGTTTTTTGGTGCCTGAGTAGAACTATTTAGTTCCTTTTCTCTAGATTGTTGTTGTTTCATGCATCGGTCTTCAAAGTCTCTGGGGTAGCCATTGCCAGAACTCAAATCAAACAGGTCATTTAGCTCGACTCAGCAGGTTCCTTCGTCAGAGCAGTGGGTCTTCGTTCGGCGTAACAGACGGCTAGCGGCACGCCTTTTGTGACAGATAGCGCTATTGCTCTCATAGATAGGAATAACTTCCGCATACGTATCCTTGCGGGCGGCGCACAAACTGACGGCTACTTTACGCACCCAGCTTGTACACCCTAACGATGGGGTTGACTATCTCGGCGCATCATCGGAGCTTGTCCCTCCAAAAAAGGCCGAGAATTTCTTGAGGTTATGCACTTTGATGTTTCATGCATCAACCAACATATTGAGTTGGATGGAATGCAGAAACATCCCCAAGACAGCTGGAAGAGACTAGAGCTAATCAATACAGAATGACGCAGATGGCAGTCACACAAAATGACTATTGCTTTTTTCATCACGGTTGAGGTTTTAATTGTTCAGTGTCCAGCATCGAAAATTTACTGAATAAACTTACTCTGTTTCCCAAAGAACGTTTTTCCTTCAAATTTATAGTGTCAACAACCCTTCTGTCGTTCATTTACTTTTTTTGTTTCAATTTTTTAAAACTTGTTTTCTGAACAGGTGCTAGGGAAAAATCATGACTGAGAGGCCTGTAAAACTCGTTGAGAACACTGGAATTTTGTCTCAGAAATCAGTGATGCGTGCTATAGCGCACGCAGCATGCTGTAAAAGATTTCATGGTAAAGATAACTTATATGGCCCCCTAAACAGGAATTGACAATAGGACCGACCCGTCCAACTGAAAAAAAGGGGGCTCAGTTGGTAATTCCAAAAACGAGAACTAGTCATATTACCTAATCCCAAAACTAGTCCCAAAATAAGCGTAAACCGTAGTCCTAATCTAAACTCTAGCCCTACCCTAAGTCTTGATCCTATAGTCAACACTAAACCAAACCTTAAAAATTACCCTGGCTCTAGCCCTAGCCCTGACACTTACCAAGACCTTAAATCCAGCCCTTGCTTTAATCCTTATCCTAATTTCCCCAGAATTTTCCCAAAAGTCACCTGTACTGCGTGTGGTTCCTGCTAAGGTGGCATCTAAGTCATCCTTAGTGAGGTCGCTGTTCGCGACGAAAAAGTAGGGTATATTTTTTCAACAACATATTCCTTATTGAGGTTAAAAAAAATTTTGCTACTTTAAAGATTGCACGGTTAAGAAATGCTATTTTAAAAACGGTATAGAGAACCAGGACATCGCCTTTGTTTCATTTTACTGCGAAATAAGGTATCTCATGGTTTAAGTTACTTTTCCCGATGATCAGAATCAAGTAGCTCATGCTTTTAATCTTCAGTTAATCACAACAGCCCTGATGGCTAGTGTGCCGTCTTGCACGCCGACATTTTCGGGCTCTCTCACCCGGCTTGCCAGTTTTCTAGTATTGCCTGGCAGTAGTATCAAATTGCTAATTATCATTTTGTTTCTATTTTTGAACAGTGTAACCGCTTTGTACCTTTTGGCGGATGGTCCAGTATTTCGATTTTTATTACAATGTCATCCAATTGCTATTCCTTGCCTTGGTTCTTGCCTGAAGCAGTAATAAAGCGCGAATTTTATTTATCAGAAATTATA